AAGGTGGACCAATCTTCAAAGCTCCGTAGTTTGTTTGTTTGATCGAATGGCTTCCAAATTTCGCCGTAATGATACCTGTATGCTCACAAGTAATAAACAATAGCTAGAAGAAAATTTTCTCCACGGGGAAAAATTCAGGTCCGAAAGGGTTAAGTTTGAATCTTGCTTTCTAGGATACTCGATTGACTTCCTATCCGCTACAGATAAGAAGTGTTTACATTGTCTGGCTAAGTTTTACATCATTTTTTTTTCATTCCGAGAGTACGAAAGTAGACAGGGAAGAGCTAGTTTCTGCACCCGATAAATGTCTTGGGGGTTAATGTAACCTTCGGATTTCCACTTTTCCATCTGTTGTGATCCCAAACCTATAGAAGAAATGCATTGAGAAAATAGGATTCCATGCAACAGTACACGCAACTAGGGGAATGCCCATGGTCCGCGGGAAGATAGGTCTTAGTGTATTCGACATGCATTGAACTTTCAAAACACTCTGACATTCCTGTCTTTCACTTTCTTTGCATAAATCTTTCGATTACCTATCTAGCACTATGTCGATTGTGAGAAATGAGCTCTAACCAACCCTAAGCGACAATGGTCTAGCACCAACTATTGGAAAGCTCTGACTGTCGGAATTCATCCTTATTATTATTATACGTATTTTCGAATTTATTTCTTTGCTTGAAAGAGTTGAAAAACTTTCACACGTCGACGCCATTTTGCGGAAATTAAGTATGGACAGATTCATCGTAATCGTTCCAAGGTTAAAGGTTTAACAAGACAAGGTATATATTTTTTTCACCATTTGATTCTCACATGGCAAAGAAATTCGTGAAAATTAAGAGACTTTGGAGTGGACAGGTTCTTCGCTTTCGTCTCAGCACTGCCCTGTTGCCAATGAATCCCACTTGTTCCTCTCTCTAGCTCACCTTCTTGGGAGGAAAGTCCACGCCAACCAACATGATCCCAAAATGACATATAGTCTTCCTCCGACAAGAATTCCGTGAGGTGGAACTGCATTGGCAGTGAGTTTCAGATGAAGACTTTGCCTCTCGTGTTGAACTAAATATATCAGAAACCAGCAGAAAAAATAAAATTGGAAACCGGTCTTGGTGGCACAGAAATGATAAGACCAACCTCCTACATATCACAGAGGAGTGTTTACGCACAATGTGAGGTTGTTGCAAATGAAGAAAATGCAGAGACCCGATCAATTAAAAAAAGCAAATGTAAAACTTTTCAGGTTTCTGCTTGAATAAAAAGAAAAAAAATCCCTTAGGTTGTCCGGGAGGTAATGCGGGTTTTTTGATGTTCATAGCAATATATCTTAGCTGCCTTGCCTTATTTTAAAAATTTCTTGCCCAAAAAACTGTTTATGAGATAATTGGAAAAATGATAGTTTGATAAGGGATGGTGAGAGCGCATTGTGTCGAACGAAATTGGATAGGCCAATTTGCCTTAGCAAGGTCGTATGGGCGTCATCGAAGGAGATTTCAGATTCTCTTGACTACAGATTTCTTTTTAGCGAATCTCGTCAGTGTGGTAGACGTTTGTGCTGTAGTGAATTTTTCTGCTAAAGAAAGCTATGGAGTATGATTACCTTGCATGGCCACGGAACCCTACGGAATGTTGGCTTTGGAAAGTGCGGAAGAGAAAAAAAAACGAAAAGATCATTAGTGCCTATATGGTGATGAAATTGCTTACTTTTATTATAAAGAATCCAGTTTCACATGTTGGCGGTTTGTCAATTGGAACTCTGTCAGCTGTCACGAGATCTCTTGAACAGCTATTTTTCTAATCCTCGGACGGCTCATGTGGTGCCTTAGCCGAATTTCTCGCCTTCTCAACTGGCTTTAGACAAAATTTCAGATTGCTCGCTCCAAATCAAGCTGCTAGGCGTCAAACATTTATTTAGGGATTTTATCTATCGGTTTCAGAAGGTCGTCCTCAACGGATGAGCAATGCCCCTAACCGCCCCACTTGGAGCTAGGGTTCCCCCATTGGGAACTTGGGAGCGCTGAGGTGTGCATTTGACAAATTCTTGTTGTTATACTTCATACTATTTCGAGCTGTCTGCACACCCTCTCCTCCGACATTCAGCTCATAGAAAAAATTATTTAAGCTGCTTCAGTGCATTGGCCTTCGATTCAAACCTTCAAACAAATCCAAAAGTCCTGGTTGTATCCAATTTCAAATGAAACGTAATAAAGAGAATAAAACGGGTTTGCCAACGATAATCAATGATGGCATTGGAATGAAAACAGCGTCATGCGAAACATCTCACAAACGTGCGGCACTTCTAATACATTTCTCTCTGTACGTCCATTACTTTCTGGACATGTTTCTGGACACGATGGTGTGGGCGAAATAATCATGATAGCAAAAGATTGCCTTGATTTTATTTGAACGGCAAGACATTCGGATAAATCCCTATGTAATTTCGATGGATCTGTTCATTCTTTAATTTCGCTATCTCAAATATGTCATTTCTTAAATACATAGACAATCCCTAAATTTCTCGAGAGACAGTCACTCCTTCGCTCCAGTGAGCTAACTGATTGTGCAGAATTGCAAGACGATTCAGAGTTTCCATGGAACTTTCGTCGGTCGCCACAACATAATTATACAATCAATAGTCCTGGGCCTGAAAGGATTCTCTTGAGACTCTATGAGCAAGATACCAAGGATAGGTGCAGAGCAGCGTTGGCATTCATCTTAGTCAATCCGATGTTTGACTAGTAAGGGCAGTCCTTGCGACCTATTGCCAGCACTCACTTTGAGCGAAACATTTACAGTCACGAAAACTTCTTATACTTTATCAAAGCTAGCAGATTGAAAGGAAAGCAGAGCTGCTATGGGATGATATTCCATAACGGGCTTCATTACCGTTCCCCTACCTGGGTTTCCACGTTCCACGTTTTCTGCAGGTGGGCCATTCTGGAATAAGAAGAGCAGCCAATGCTATTGAAAGCCAGCCATTCAGTAAGAGTCTTCGCAGGAATCATATTAGCAGAAATCACGAGTTGAAAACTACGGGAACCTCTGCTACTCATTATAAAGAAGTGGACAGTTAGATCAAAACGTCGTCATACTCAGCTGGTGCCTTAGACACCTTCATTGTTATTGGAACGAGGTCGAATGCATGCATTGTCTGAAATTGGTACTTTTCATCATATCGGAAAAATTGTCCTATCTCAAATCTCTCACGCTCAAATCTGCATTCATGCATCAGTGCTCTTTGTACAGAGCACCGGAAGTGAGCCACTGCTATGAAACTAAGTTGATCAATCAGTTAGACGGTTGACTTGAAAAGCCCCCCCCCCTCACTTCTCGACAACACCTACCTGGAAAACAGGGCATAATTCTCAGAAACTTCTTCGCTCACGTATCATCGCGGAAAGCAGACACTACTATTTTTAGCTTGTGGCTTTTTCACTCTCTGCTCATTTCTGAACGTAAACTGATGATTTTGTTGACACAAAAGGTATAAACAATATGAAATTGTGAAATCAAAAGAATTCGAAAAAACTTGGTGCATAGCTTAGTGTTTTTTTTTCTATTTTCAATGTACGCTTTTCAATCTTCCACCTGATAGTTCTTTTGGTGATCTTTCAGTAATGAAGGGAATGTCCGCCGATCCAGTTTCCCTTTCCTCTTATTTTGATTAGGAGAGAGTAGGTTGTCCTTAGTTGCCCTCGTGCGCCATGAATATGTTGCAACGTATCCACTAGGCGAGCACATGTTCAACGTTGAATCTTCTCATGAGCTCCCAATTTTGGGGTCTCTGGGCTCGAATATAAAAAACGATGTCTCGCACTTGACTTCTTTGTTAATACTGCTCCTTACTCTTCTTTTGTTTCCTCGCCAGCTTTTTTATCCCTTATTCGCTGATATCTGGAATAGCCTAGTGTTAGCCGCACACGGCTACCCTGAATATAAGATCTGATTAGATTGACACCCATCATTACATTTGGCTGTCCGACAGCATCGATCATTAGGTTTGGGTGTCCGATAAGAAGTGTTGGTTCTTTGCAGACGGAATTCATTTTTCCAGAATCCCACGTTTCACATAATTACATATGTCGTTCAAATAATAATTGTTCACTCTATAAAATGTTCGATAAGTATTGCAAATTGCTGTCTTATAGGCTATCAAACTGAGAGTTCCGGTAGACGACAAGCAGCCAAACAGGATTTACTCAAACTAAGTGTTCCTTTGGAAGAAATCAAGCAGCAGTGTACCTTCACCTAAAGACGACCTCTTTTCAACATTTCACTCCGAAATTCCACTTTTCCGACTGACCATTATACCGTAGCAGCTTTCAACCAACAATTTTTTCTCTAAAACTCTATATATTCACAATGCTTCATACGCCGTTCGCTTTTTCTGTTCTATTCGCAGTCATGTTGTGATCTCCTGCCGTTACTACTTAAGTAGAATGGTAGGCTCATATAATACGGTGCTCAATGATGATGATGACATTGCTCCAGAAAAATTCCCCATGTCGCGGAAAATTAATCAGTGATGTGCCTCGTACTTGAATAGGACTGATTTAATCCTGTCATCGGTCGTCATATATCTCGCCTGTTAATACAACGAGGTGTAGATTTGACGTGATAGCGGTCAGCCATCGCCTTCTGTCTGGATAAACCAATTTTACAAGAGAAAGACACGGCTTGTCTGATAGTTGTCTGGTAGTTGAGAGCCAAGCAGAGGTTGTGACTAACCATAAGTAGCGCAAATCACTGTTTGCTTACCCAGGAACATACCGTTTAAATCTGTTGCCAGCTTGACTACTTTTTGCCTATAAACCCTTGAACCCCGAACTTCTGCATCTGCTCGTAGAATTAGCGAAGCTTGGGTGAAGGCATGCTTACAGATAAGACTTTTCAAGAATGTTTGTTGATTATTCATTTTATGTCGTTTTGTTTGGTTTCGTTGATAAACTTAAGTGTGAAATGAGAACTGTTAATAATTTTGGCTCAACCTATTATATTGAAGAGTTGAAAGTTGGAAGTACGATAGAAGCTCGGAATGTCGCTCAAAGCAGTTTCGCCATGCTGTTTGCGTTTATGGTGTGGAAGATTTCGTCTGGCTTGCAAAACACCCGAAACTGTTGGCTAACAAAGTAGGAATTATAAAAAGGAAAGTAAGGAGCTGCATCTATAATGTGGCTTTAGATGATGCCCTCGTTCGATTACGGTGCTATAGATTGTATGCACGAGCTCATCTACAATCGCACCTATCTTGGACAAAACGACCACATTTGGAATTTGGAAGACTACAAGAACCAACCCTATGTGGGTCTACTATTTTAAGCCTAATCTAGAATCAATAATGCGATCATCGCAGTGGCTTCGTAGGCTTTGAGGAGAATATGGATGCAACCTCCCATATTTGAAACTGATTCTCATAGCGACGTGAGCTGGACGAAATGGCGATAATTAGGTCCGTCAGATTTGCAGGAAGCTATGCTTACATTGAACTGCGATATCTAGGATTCTCATGTGCATATCCAGCACATGAGCGTAGCCAGGCATTCGGTTTGCTTATACTTATTCACTGGAAATGCTAACAATCTATGGTTATCAAAAGTCCAGTAATACGAAAAGCAATCACAAAAAAATTGTAGAGGAAAAGAATTTCTGTATAAGCGCCTTCTAGCTCTTATTTGATAGAATCTACCACGTACCTAGCCAAGCTTCGGCAAGAAGTCTGGGAGGGGGAACAAAACCGTATGGAGTCGATGCTAGCTACTGCCCATGCAGCACACTACGCTTTTCCTTGCAAAAGCACCCTAAACAATGCGCTTCATAACGATAATACCTGCAAATTGCCAAAAATCTCGCACTTCATCACCTGTATCACCTGTCCTCCCTTGATCATCGACTTGCTCAAGCGGGCGCCAGCAACGTCTCCATTCGTCCCTGTCGCGTGCCAGAGTTGTCCAGCAGACTCTCCTTGCTCGAGGGACACGATGCCCTTCATTCCTTTCGTTCAGAGCTTTTGTGAAGAAGTCTGAAGATCAGGCCGGCGGTGGCTAGGTGTTCGTTTGACCTGCCGAGGGATCCAGTGTGTAAACGCTTCGGTCCAACGGTCATCACAAAAACGAAGAACGTGTCCGGCCCGCCTTATCTTCGATTCCTTGGCGAAAACGGCAGCGTCTTTGATCTTCGACAGTTGGCGTAGTTTGAACTCCGGATTCTAATCTGCACTTGCGTGTATAGGGTTACTTCGAGCATCGTCCTCTCGACAGCGCATTGGACAACGCCGACCGCATGCACGTCCTGCCTGCGCAGAAACCAGGTCTCTTAGGAGTAGGCTAGGGCAGGAAGGACTGCGGAATCGAAGAGATGGGCACGGAGCCGGCTGTTCTTCGTCTTCTTCACTACTCCCTCGATGTTCATAAACGCTCCACATGCCGTTCGTTTCCTCCTGTTCAGCTCTGGAGCTAGATCGTTCATCATGTTGATTTCCCGATGGAAAGTTTTGGCGAATTGTGTCGCTTTGTGGAACCCCTCTCTCGACGTCGATGATGAGCTCCGTAGAACGGTGAGATTCTGGTCGTAAAGTTGCCGTAAAGCTAACGAAGAATCTTTATGTACTTAAAGGGACGTCCTGGTTGCCCAAGACTCCGATGGCCGCTTCTGTCTCCACAGAGTCGAGGGCCTTTCTGAAGTCAATAAAGGTAAGACAAAGCGGCATCTTTTATTCCCGTAAAACTTCAATGAGTCTCATAACCGTGTGGATATGGTCGACCGTGCTGACCCTCTTCGAAACCGTGCTTGCTCGCATGGCTGTCTGTTATCCTGTATCCTGAAGATCCCCTTGAAAACGACGAGAGAATAGCTTGTAGATTACAGACAGCAGGAAGATTGGGCGATAGTTGCCCATGGCGTAAAACTCCCCCTTCTTGTACAGCTGCACGGTCCTGCTGGTTTTCCACGGAGTGGGTACCTT